GGCATTTGACAAAGTCCAACACCCATTCATGATAAAAACTCTCAACAAAATAGGAATAGAAGGGAAATTCCTCAGTATAATTAAGGGCATTTATACAAAGCCAACAGCCAACAGCATCCTAAATGGAGAGACTCTGACAGCACTCCCCTCGAGAACGGAAACCAGACGAGGATGCCCTTTATCACCACCCTTATTCAACGCTTTGCTGGAGGTCCTCGTCAGAGCAATTCGGCTAGAAAAAGAAATAAAGAGCATCCAAATTGGTAGGAAAGAAGTCAAAGTATCTCTGTTTGCAGATGATATGATCTTATACAAAGAAAACCCCAAAGAATCCACAAGAGAACTACTGGAAATAATAGAAGATTTCAGCGAAGTATCAGGATACCAGATAAACATTCAAAAATCAGTTGGATTCCTCTACACCAACAAAAAGAGCTTCAAAGAGGAAATCACCAAATCAATGCCATTTACAATAGTCCCCAAAAAGATAAAATACTCAGGAATAAATAAAGGGTGACGTAAGCAGTCAGAACTGGCTTAAGAACATGCTGTCTCAACAAGTCGGCAATAATCTCATGAAGGAAAGCAACCTGCTGACGCCTGGAGGCCGTGGCCGTGGCCCAGAAGGAAGGGCTGTGCAAGGGCGAGTCCCTGGAGAGGAGCAGGGGGAGGAGGGGGCAGGGGCCGCCCAGGCCGGCGAGGGGCACGTCTGAGGCTCTGGGTGCAGGAACAGGAGGAGGGCGAGGGGGGCACAGTCTGTCTGCAGGAACCCCTGAAGTCTGCAGGGAAATGCAGCAGGACCAGCGTCCACACCTTCAGCACAGGTAAAGCGCTGGGTGGGGTCTGGGCAAAGTGTCCTCTGGACCATGCAGACCGGGGCGAGATCGCGGCCATGGCGCGCTCGGGCAGGACACCGAGAGGAGCACGTGGTAGCTGGCCCCTGGGAGGTGGGGGGACCCGACAGAGACAGCGAGGCGAGGTTGGGGGCTGAGCGTCCAGTAACGGGATGACAACCAGAGAGACCAGCATGCTCACAGTGCAAACCACTGATAGGTATGTGGAGGGCTACCTAAAGAAGCAGAAATCAGCTATTTAACTTAGAACAAGGGTTTAAACCCCCTACGGCAGAGTAGGGGTCCCTGGGTGGTGCAAATGGTTAACAAACTCAGCTGCTAACCAAAAGGCTGAAGGTCAAGTCCACCCAGTGGTGCTTCGGTAGAAAGGCCTGGCAATCTACTTCCAAAAAATCAGTCACTGAAAACCCTATGGAGCACAGTTCTACTCTGCACACATGGGGTCGCCGTGAGTCAGAGTCCACTTGATGGCAACTGGTTTGGGTTATTTTGTCAGTGTAGAGGGGGCAGGGCATCTCAGGAAGAACGAACAGTGTGGGGAGAGAGATAAGGCGCCGGGAGAGCCGGACGCAGAGCGCTACGGCCCGAGCAGCAGGCCAGACTCTCTCACCAGGGATAATCTTTCAAAACGAAATCTATCATACTTTTAGGGTTAGCATTTGTCTCTTATTTTTGGCCACCAATTCAGTTGTAGTTTTTGATTGTTATCACCAGCCCTGTGGTTGCCTGGAAGAAGAGTTATTATTAATTCCAGGTGAAACCTGTACCATGAAGAAAATTCACCACCATACACCACACAGCCCAACAGTGAGTGACCCATACAGTCATCACAATATAAAAAGCAACAGTGATTTAACTTTACAACGTGGCGGGACCATGTAGGAGGACGGAATGTGGAGGGAGGATGAGTGAGCTAGCACCTCACAGAAGCTAAGCAGGTAGTCTCTATGGCCAATGAAAGCCAACGAGCAGAGACCACACAGGGGCAGCAGGGGCAAGTATCTGGAGAGGGGGTGCACGGGCAGGAGGGCACATCAAGCTCCAAGGGGGGAAGCGGACTTCCGTTTCACAATTTAAGCGTTATAAAACAATCTGACATTTTACCAAAACCTTGATCATTTAATAAGACATCATGCTTGGTAAAGCGGAGGGTCATCCAAAAAGAAGACCCTCAGTGAGATGGACTGACACAGTGGCTGCAACAATGGGCTTAAGCATAACAAGGACTGTGAGGACAGCGCAGGACCAGGCAATGGTCTGCTGCACGTGGGGTCACCATGACTTGGAACCGACTCAAAGGCACCAAACAACAATAAGATCAAAATTAATTTTTCAAAAGGAAAAATAAAAATCTGCCAATCCCAAAATGATTAAATGTCACGTATTTTTCCTTGTCTAAAATTACCAATGAATTTTCTTAGAGGAAGTATCAACAGTTTTCAGAAGTGAAGTTCTTAAAGAAAAGGCCCTCCATAGATTTGACAGTTACCAGATCAGATGACTGGAGGATAAGAGACGGTTAGGAGACCCGTTCCTTGATCGGGAGGAGTGGGATGCTGGGGCTAAGGATCTGGGGGGGCATGTGAAGGCCATCTCCTGGGAGTCGGCTGACAGGTGGGGACGTCTTAGTTATCCAGTGCTGGTACAACAGAAATACCACAAGTGGGGGGCTTTAATAAACACATTTATTTTCTCAGCTTAGGAGGCTGGAAGTCCAAATTCAGATCAGGATGTGTCTGTACTAGTGAGCAGACACAGGGCTGTGTGTATGCCCCGAGGTCAGGGTGTGTGTGTACTTTAGTGAGCAGACACAGGGCTGTGTGT